CTTAGGGGCAGGGGTCTCCCTCTCAAAGGCTCGCTTTGACCACAGCCCTACCAGCACGGCCACAGGCCACAAGAGCCCCTGGGATAAGATGTACTTCTGGTTGATTTCTGCTGGAGGGAACGTCGGCCCCTCCCTGCACTGTGGCTTTTGACAGTCTAGCTTCCTAGCACTTCTTGATGGATTCTCGAGGGACGTCTCTAAAAGAGAGGTATACCTTAATTTAGAAGTGAATAACTCAAAACTCTGTGATGTAGCAAGCTTCTGTGTGTGTGTTGGGGGGGAGAAAATGAAAAAGAAAAAACTCATGGAAGCCTCTTATGGAGCCGCCAGCCACACCTGCCCAGTGTCCGACCGTGGCTGGGCCTAAGATCTATGTATCTCCTGCTACCAGCTGTCCGAGTGGCTGCTAGCCACTGGGGACAAAACGATGGAGGGGGAAAAAATGGTAACTCCCAGGGAGCAATCCTTAACGTGTGGATCCAGGAGAGCCAAGACAGGATCACAGCATAGCTCCTGACCCTGCTCATAGACCCACTCAGGTAAAAGAAGAAAGGGGCAGAGGGCCGAGTCGGGCATGCCACAGCCCAACTTGTTAGGCCTTGTGCTCGGCCCACTGCAGCCCAGCACTGTCCCTGCAGGTCCCCATGGGTGGGCCGGCCTCCCAGGCATACCAATAGGTGGCGGCGGGGTCCCTCTGTCAGGCCTAAGGCTATGCAGCAGCCATCTTGAAACGCTTACAAATGCCAGATCTTTTGATGCTCTGGTCCCAGCACTTATCGCAGGGACCCACACTCTGGGGAATGCCTTCTCTAGCTTCCTAAAGGACTGTCACAGTGGAGCAGGAACCTCACTGGTTCCCAGTCCTCCAACTCCAGCTTCATCCCCTCAGGATCTTGGATCTTCAGTGACCTCACTGGCCTGCCACCTCCCAAACACTCTGATGCCAAGGACCCCAGGCTGTCACCACAGACTTCGCTCTGACCACGATATGGTCAATGCCTGCCAGATCAAAAGGAAGAGATTCCACAGTTCCTTCCTCTTGAAGGAGTCCTCATGAGTCTCCTTCCTTCACCAGGGCCAGCTGCATCCTTCCAGTGGCTCAGATAACACCCCAGCACTGCCATCTGACTCACGCCCTCTCATCCCCTCTTTCACCCCCCAACTCCCCCTCCATTACAGGGTTAGCAGCCCCTCGCTTGAAATACTGCCCCAAGCGGCCTTGGGGGCTCGTCTGAGCACGGCCTGCTTTTATTTCACTTATCTACCACTTTTTTTTGGTAGTGGGGATGAGACCAAGGGCTCCCTGGTGTTTGCTGACTCCCCCCCCCCCCCCCCCCGCCCCTCGCCCCCCACTGAGAGCTCTACACCCAACAGAGCAGAGCACTTCTAAAGGCCAAACCGGTCCCGGTTCCTTCTCTGTTCTAACCCGCCCCAGTCCTCTCACTCAAGAGTGTGTGCCTCACCCGATCCAGTCTTCAGACCCTTCCCACGTGCCAATACTGGGCTCCTGCTACCTGCCCTTTCACACGTGCCTAAGAGCAAGTGTGTGGTGTGCGGACGTGTATGTGTGTGTATGTGTAGTGTGTGTGTGTCTGTGTGTGTAGGACAGAGGACAACCTCGCACACTGCACCTCTTCGGGTTTCTACCTTGTTTTCTGAGAAGGGGTCTCTCACCAGCCTAGGTCTTGATTAGGTTACACTGGCCCAGGTTAGCAAGACCCAGGGACCTGCCTGTTCCGACTCCCCGACTCCCCGTCCCCAACAATGGGATTACAAGTGTGAGCCACACCGCCTGGCAATCAGGCCCTCACACTTGAGTGTCAAGAACTTTGCTGACTGAGCCCGCTTCCCCAGCCTCCTGGCTCCCCCCACCCCACCCCTGTCCCCCGACTCCTGCCCTGCTCTTTATTTTTGAGATGAGGTCCTGCTATACAGCTCAGGCAGCATCAAACTAACCACCTCCTTGCCTCTTCTCATGAGCTTCTCCCCCAGTTGTGGACACATCAAAGTGGATGGCTGATGTGGAGACCCAGGGCAGCATTCTTAGTCCTTTCCAGATGACGACAAGACGGTTCAGGGAAGATGAATCTGGATTAGAGGCCACAGGACCAGGGCCTGTCTCCATGGCTTCTTGACTAATGGCTCTAGAGCAGAGAACCTAGGTGCTCCTGGCCCCTCCTAAGGCTACACAGAGCACAGTGTGGTCTCTGCCTGCCTGGAGGTAACTTTTGGTGTCTTCCCTGGGCACTTTTCCCGCCCATGTTCCTTTAAGTCAAGCGTAGGGTCTCCTAGGTGGCCTCAGCCTTGCACACCCGCCCTGGGCTTCCTTCCTGGGGGTTGTGGGCGAGCAGTGGGCTATCTACTTCCTCCACGAGCAAGCCTCAGTCAGCAGCGGCTGGCACACCTCTGCAGCCACCCAGGATTTCTGGTGTTTTGAGGCTTCTGTGGGGTGGCTCATAGTCCTTGCTCGGTCCTGGCACCCTGGGGAGGAAGCACACACTCACATGTGTTCACATGAGCACACCACCATCCGGGTTCATATGCCAGACTACTGGGTAGGTAGACTGGGGCACACTCCCAGGCTATCTGCAAGATGACTCTCTCCCATCAGCCTGCGTGCAGGGAGCTCGTGGCAGTGGTGTCTGGATTTGGCCACCCAGACATTGCTGGACTCACCATGGGATCTCTTGAGGTACAGCCTGAGACATTTTTTTTTTTTTTTTTAATCATAAGGTACCAAAAGGTCTAGGAGTTTAGGGATAAGAGAAAGAATCCATCCTCCATGCTTCAAAGCCTGAGTTCCATGGCAGGTCCCTGGAATGGACCAGGCATGAGGCATAGACCATATACCCCATGAGGGCAGGCAGGCTGTGTTCTTGCCGGGACACCCTGAACCTCAGCCAACAGCTGATGTGTGTGTGTGCGGGGGAGTTGTGTGAGTGTGTCTATCTTTGACGGTGGGCACACTACCAAGATGAGTAAGAACCAGGCCCTTCTGACAGAAACCGAAAACATCTCTGGGACCAAGGGAGCACACAGATCTAGGGCAGAAGATGAAATCGGCCTTCTATAGGGGAAGAACCTTGTCTCTGCATGCCTCATTTAAAAAAAAAAAAAAAAAAAAAAAGCAAGCATGTGTTAGAAAAGCACACAGAGAGTTTTCCAGCAAGGCCAGCATCCCTTCACGCCCAGAGGAGAAAGTGAACGGAAGGGGCACGACATCATCCAAGCTCGGGACAGTCCTCTGCAGCTTCCTGGGTCCCTCAATGGTCCCCCCTACCACGGTCCTCATTTTCAAACCTTCCCTACTCCAGACTCACCAGCTAAACCCTGGCCTCCTTCAGTGCAGGTGGCTTCATCGTGGCTAAGGAGGGGACTGGATAGGTTGGTTACCCAGGGATAAAGTGCCTTGCAAGGGTGGTCCTGGGTTCAGAGGCCAGGAGCCCCCTCAGGTCTCCAAAGTTCTTTCTCTAACACAACTCAGCTCCAGGGTCACAAAGCCATCCCCCTTTGTAGACATGGAGGCTGTGGTGGTCACTCAGACAGCCTAACAAGCAATGGTGTGTCGCCACGGTGCCTCTGTCCCCTTCCCTTCCGTGCTTTTCTGGCTTCTCACCCACCTCTCCCTCCCAACCCCTGACTCCTCCCCAAATACACCCTGTGTTTTCACCCAACCCAGCTGCCCCAGCTTCTGAGCCTCCATTCATTCTCTCCCCTCTGCCCACATTGCTCATTCTGACCGAGCCGGTGTCCTTCAAGCTCCAGTTCAAATGTCACATTGCCCACAGGCAGGTCTGACCTAAGTCTGGGGTATCTCTCTCCCAGGCCCCTCCCAAGCCCCCCTGCACCGAAAGGAAGGCCTGGTCATCAGAGCACAGCCATATTTCCCCCATAGGAAGGTGAATCAGTCCTGGGAGGGCAGGCCCTGTCCACTCCCACCCTTCCACCTCAGCACCGGGCCCAGGGGAGCCAGTACTCAGTAAATGTTTGCTTAATTGAATCTGGCCAAGCAGCTTCCTCTAGACAGGGGCCAGGTTAGCAGAACTGGATGATTCCTAGGGCAGGGAAACCACTTGGGCAGAAAAGAGTCTGTCAAGGATCAGGTATTTTGCTCCAAATCCCCTCCCCAGACAAGGCGACCTCAGTTACCAGCCTGGCCCTTCCACCCTGAGACTCAGACTCCAGGGAACCCTGGTCTCACTTGGCACTGCTTTCCCATCCTCCTCTCTGTAACTGGATCCCCAATTCTCGGCCTAGGCGGATTCCTGCTGTCCTCATCCACACAGGCTCAGCACTTCCCTAAAGGCAAAGAAAGCCCCCACAGATCCACCGCAGGATCCCGGCCAGAGGCCCTCACACCCCTCCCCAAACACCCCGCCGCCTTTTAAGGGAAAAAAATATTGAGCCAGGGACACATTACAATCGCAGCAGGTCGATACTCATCTCTGGCTCCAAATGCCTCCAAGGAACCTGCTCCCCAGCAAGAGCGATGACCGAGAACAGCGAGCCGCTGTAGCGGGCCTCGGGGCCTTCTCTTCCCGTTCTACCAAGGCAAAGCGCCCGAGCGAGCTCCTGACACCTGCGGCTGTCTGCACCCCTGGACCCCCGGATGGAGACCCTCGCCTGGCGTCGTCGCTCCCGCAGCCACAGCTGCTCAGGGCATGCAGTGGTCCCACATCATCCTCGGCGCCCCTAGCCCCATCTCATCTGGCGGCAGCCTCCCTTCCCAAGGGCTGTTGGGCCACCGCTCCTCCCTCCCCAGGCACCTGTCTGGACCGTGGCCACCCCCTGTCCACCTCGCAGACAACCCCACCCTCGCGGCTCCCCTACGCGGTGGGGCATCCCTGTCTCTGCACCCCTACAGCCCAACAGATCTCGGGTCCCCAGCACAAAAGGCCCCAAGGCCCCGGCCCGGGTGGGGGTGGGGTGCGCCCCAGCCGCGCCCCCAGCCCCGGGTTCAGCTGTGCGCGCCCGGGCCGCTGGTGCGCTCGTTCACTCACCTCCCGGGCGCGGCTTCGTGCGTCGGTCGAGCTGCACCCGGCGGGGCGGGGCCGCGAGCGTCGCGGGGCTGTGGCGCCCTGGTTGTGCTCGGCACGGGCTCCGGCGCCCGCGCCAGGACGTGACCGGTCCGCGGGTGGCACACACGCTCCGCCGCCCCGGCCGGCTCCCTCCTCCGCCCTCCCGCGCCGCCTGCCAGCGGGTCCACCCGCCCCGCACCGCGCCGCCGCCGGCAGGGGGCGGAGTCGCGAGCGCAGCCCGTTGCCAGGCCAACCGCGGGCGGGGCCTGCCGCCCGCCTGCCCCGCGCCACGCGCCGCCCCCCTCCCCGGACCGCTAGCTCCGGCTCGTTTTCCATTGGGCGGTTGCTGCCGACGGACGTGCAAGCCGCCCAATAGCGACGGGCGGGGGCGGGGCGCGGCTGTGCGCGCGCCGCCGTCCTGCACGCGCTGCTGGCTCCAGCGGCGGTGGCACTGCACTGCGCCGAGCCTCAGCGAAGGCACTTCTAGCGTCTTGGGGAACCCACCCCGAGACCAGTGTAACCGTGCTTCCTTGCACCCTGGTTTCCCGGCCCTACCTCAGTGGGGTTTGGGCTCGGCCCTGGAAACCTGCCCTCCCACCCCGTCTCTTTGCCAAGTACTGTGGGTCCCGGCCGGCTTCCCTGGATCCTGTCGTCCATCCTTGAGGGCGCGTGAAAACCTTGATATTAGGGTGAAGCTGGCGAGGTTCACGCGGCGTGTCGTTTGTCCTCTCTCCTGCTATGCTTTGCAGCACGTAGGGGCACTTCTGGAATCCCTCCCTCCGCCTCCCCCGCTCCTGCCGCCCAGCAGAGAGACTCAGAACCAGATCGGTGAAGCCTGCCCCCTTTGGAGACTACCCAGGAGACATCACACTCTTGGCAAAATGCACCTAAGTGTAGGCTGTGAGAGTCTGCTCTCGGTATCAGGAGGAGCCCGTGTGTGGATCTTGGCAGGGGTCACCTTTACACCAGCACAAGAAAGACTCAGGCCAGGGGTCACCACGGCAGTGCCTCTCTGTCCTTTCCATCCTTGTAACTTTCAGCGTAGTGTGTGTCTTAGAGCCCAAGATGAGGTGGGAGCCATGGCCTTGCGTTGGTGCCTGCCAGCTGGATGCTTTGGAGGCAGAACATCATCCCACCGTCTCCTGGGAATGTCTGCTCTCTTGTGAAATGGGGGCTGTGGTACTGCATTATCCCAGGGGGACAGCCCACCTGTGAACATGCTGCGGGACAGGTACTGGTTACTCAGGCCAACCTCGACACCCTTCACTTTATACACTGCTCCCTAGAAGGGACCAAGGAGGCTAATCTGTCAAACAGGGTTACTGTCGACTCCTCATAGGGTTAACATATTCAGGAAATACACCTTAGTAAGTGATTGGGGCTGGACAGACACTGTTTGCATGGCAGGTTCAGGGGTCAGAACTCAGCCCTCTGCAGAGGACGAAACCAATGCAAGAATTAGATTACTCTCTAAGATACTCCGGGTATCTTATGGAGCAGAGGCTAGCCCCTGGGAGTGGACACCAAGGCTGGCTGCTGTCTCCTGGACCTGACTCTGGCAACTACCACAGAGTGGTAGCCTCTGCGTGGCGCATACTTTTAGAATATAGCTCCGTGCTGTTTTAGAAGACTCTGGAAGCAGAGGCTGGAAAAGCAGCATGATCATCCATCCCCATAGCTGTGTTGTTACGGTAGTCCAGCGGGGCTCCGGGGGCATACGGCAAGGAGAGCAACACGCACTAGGCTAGCTTTTTGAAGAAAGTTGCTTGGGCTGGAGCCATGGCTAGGGCAGTGTGGCTGGGTATCAGAGGGAAGTTAGTTCCAGGGTGGGCCTGAAGGGATGTGAGGTCCCCTGAGAAGCCAGGAAAGCCCAGCTTGTTCACACTGCACCTATTGGATATGGAAGGAGACCAGGAACAGTCACAACCAGCTACAGGCCTTTGGATGAGATTGAGGAGGTTGGCTTAAGAATCAGCAGAGAAGGGGAGGGAAGAGGGGAGAAGAGTAAGGGAGGATGGGACTAGGAGGAGAGAAGGAAGGGGGCTACAATTAGGATGTCAAGTGAATAACTAATTAAATAATTAAATAACTAATTAAAACAAAACAATAGAGTAAGATTAGCTTTTTACATCTGAGAAGGCAGTGGCCGAGTATTATATTATTTTCGATAGGTGTGGACTCAAAGACCACGTGGGCCGGATTACTGGGAATAATCAGATTAAAAAAAAAATCTTGACTAGCACAAACTGAGGACAGTCAGTCTACAAGGCCTAGTGCAGGGTAGAGCCTGCTGCAGCGATAGACTATCAGGGACACGTGTTCCTTAATGACCTGCCCCTAGCTGGCTCTCCAAGTAGCCTGCCCACTACCCCGGTGTGGGGTGGGGCTGTCCTGCTCCTCCCTGGATCTTCAGCTACCCAGGGCCTGGCCTTTAGGGATGGCGTCTCTCCCGACTGGCTTCTTTCTGTGCTCCGCCTCTTCCACACCCAGGACTCACCGATTCTCAGGCCATGGCAGCGGGCTGGGTTTCTGTACTCTGTTTTTCTGGGGTCTGTGCAGCCCACGCCCCACCCTAACATGCAAGACTGCCCCTGGGTGGGTTACAAATAGCTGGACCCATCACCTGTCTCTTAGCTGAAAAGAAACAGCACAAATGACCAGAGGAGACATACCTGACACAAACTTTATTTTTATTCACTCCCGGCTCCCGCCATCTCCAAATGATTCTTGGTCCTGCTGCTTGGTAAGTCTTGGAGCAGCAGCTGGAGACAGATGCCTGAGAAACAAAATCTGAGGTGTGGAGGGTCCTGGCTTTGCCTTCGGCTAGCAAGTCCTCAGGCATTAGACTTGCTCTCTGGGCCCGCTGAGGAAACCAGGCTCAGAGATTAGGTCCAAAGTTACACAGCTGGGAAACGACACATTCAGGCATCAAATCTAGGCTTTGGAAGTCTGTGTTGTCAATAAAAAACAAACAAACAAAGAAAACCCAGAGGGAAAGTGGCTTCCCTGAACCATCCTGAGATCCCTGAGCACTAATGGGCAGAGCCAGTTGCTACACCCAGACACCCCAGGGAGAAGCCAGATAAGGGCCCTAGGAGCCAAGGGTCATCAGGGAACAGGAGGAGCAGCTAGAGCTTCAGAGGTCCCTGCCCCGCCTCTCTACCCCATCGCCACCATCACCTGTCACCTGCCATCCTCAGGGACCAGAGGAAGCGAAGCAAAGCAAAGCAAGGGGGTGATGCCCTCGAAGAGGAAATTCCCCGGTGCTAATTGGCACTGAGAGACCTTTAGGCTAATTAACCTGTTCATTTGCCTCTCTAGAGTAAATTAGAGGGTTTAGCTGGGGAGGCCTAAAGAGAGACATTTGCTGGTGGCCACCTCCTCAGGGGCAATGGCAGGCTTTGTAGCGGGCACAGTGGGCTGCCGGAGAGGCTTGGCAAGAGGGGACTGCAGCCAGGCAGCAGTCACAGGTGGCCCTTGTGCTGCGGGAAAGAGAGCTCCCCTTTGTTCCCCTCTCACTGCTGTGAACTGGGAAAGCCTGGGGCTCTCCGGGTGCCGTCTGTGCCTGGTTCCGGGTTCCCCAGAAGGAGAGGGGTAGGCCCTGCTTTTGGGCAGGGGGGGGGGGCGTCCTCTGGTACGCTTCTGGTACCCTTACCCCTATGGTCTGCTTACAAAATGCTCCCCACAGGTTCGTGTGACTGGACACCTGCTACCCAGCTAGTGGCACTGTTTTGGGGGAGGTTGTGGGACCTTTAGGACATGGAGCCTAGCTGGACAGAGTGGGTCAGCCGGAGTAGGCCTTGAGGTCTCTAGCCTGGCCCCTCCACCCATTACTGTCTGATGTGTGTACACAGCCCCAGACATTTACAAAAGCCCTTGGCCAGAGTCTGGATTCCTGTCACTTTCAGATGGGGACACAGATCCTTTGGGGACAGCAGGTAGTGTCTTATACCCCATGGCTTCTCTCTCAGGCTCTATTCCAGGCTCCCGAAGCCTTGGCGTAGCCTGGATATGAAAGGACATGCTATGCTTTGCCACCACTCTGGGGGAAATTTAATTTTTTTTTTAACCCGTGACAAAAACACTTGAGAAAAAGCAACATAAAGAAGGGAAGCTTTGCTTCGGCTCATGGTCGTCTAGGCTTCAGTCCTAGCGTTCACGTGGCTTCATTAGAGAGCATGATGGTGGCAGCTGTGCCAGGGCAGAGCCGCCTGCCTTCTGGGTAGGCTGGGGCAAGGGGAGAGAGAAAGAGGGGGAGGGTGGGAGGTGGGAAAGGTGGTGATTGGGAACAAGACAGAATTTTCAAAGGCAAGGCCCTTGTGACCTGCTTCTAACGGACCCCGCCTCCTAACAGCTTATTCAGCTTGGGACTCATCACGGATTAAATCACCGACAAGGCTAATTGACGGGGTAAATGCCACCATGAGCCAATCAGCTCTCCACGGAGGCACTTGCTGGGGATCAAGTCTTTAAAAACCCACGAACCTTTGGGGATATTTTCTGTCTAGCCCATAACAGTGTGGGAGGGGAGGGTATATCTGTGTGCCTGAATCTGCAGCAGTAAGCTGCAGCCTCTCAGGCCGCTGTGCCACTCAACCATGGTTGATGCCTTGGAGGCATACCTCAGTCAAAGAACTTTCTGTGTTTGGTCACTTCTCAGGTCTAGCTCTAGACCTACTGCATGTGTGAACTCCTTTCCAGTTCTCGAATCGCCTCTCCCAGGCAGGGTGATTAGCCCCGGGGGGCGGGGGAGAAGGACCCTTAGCGCCTCTTCCTGTTCCGCAGGTGCCCGGGGCATCGTCAGCAGTGGCCTGATCCCCTCGCTGGTCTGGAAGCTGCAGACGGAGAACGAATACATTCAGGAGCTCATCCTGGACACTCTGGCCCCGTGCCTGCGGGAGGATGCCAGCGAGGCCCTCAACAGCCAGGCTGTGCCCTATTTTAAGGAGAAGCTCCTCAGCGACTCCCCCCAAATCCGAAGCAAGGCTGCTCGGGCGCTCATCGCCATCAGGTGAGGCCTGTTTTGCATTGGCTGAGGGGAGCACCTCCGTAGGTTTCTGCCGAGGGTCAGAGAGGGCCATCAAGCTACCCTTGACCTACCCGTAGACCAGCAGTGAGACTTCACCTTGCTGTGTCTGCCACAGGGCACGCACCCAAGCAGACTTCCTCTAATTTCCTTACGCCCTGGGGAAAGGAGGGCAGTGGCTGAGAAGTGTACCCTTTTCCATCACGGTGAGTGACCATGGTGCCTGGCCTGAGGCTGAGCCATATCTCAGCAAACTCTCTCACTCCCATCTCAGACACGCCCAGCTAACTGGTCACCTCCCCACGGGGAAGAAAAGCAGATAAACTCCAGTGATAACAACGATAACGCGGTGGCCAGGCATTGCCTACAAGGTCAACGGTTTGGTTAGACAAGTGCCAGGGAAGGTTGCACCACAGGGTCCAGCTTAGCTGTCTGCCTTTTGAGGCAATCCAATGGAAGCATGAGCTCTAGTCATTTGCCTTGGTTCACAGGCTCACTGTCTAAATCCTGACTTGAAGCACAGATGAGTCCTGTGCCCTAAGGGGAACCCTTTGCCGCTGGCCACACCAGCCTCAGCATGAGGGGGAGGGGAGGCCCTGCCATCCCATAAGTCCTGGGCATCTTGCTGGAGGGCCAGGCTGCCATTCCTGGGCCTGGATGCCTCTTCTGAAGGCTTGTTACCGTTACCATGCACATTCCCACACCCACCCAGAGTCAGCCCTGTCAGGTCTCTGGCCAGAGGTCCCCGAGCCCATTACCACCCCTCCCCCTACTGTGCCACCCATGCAGTGGGTTTCTCCTGTTCCCTGCTGTGGACCAGGGGCTAGATTATGTGCCCCAGCAAGCGTCAATCGCCGAGGAAGCTAAAACCCGGCTCCTTCTTCAGGGCCTGAACTAGCACGCACCTGGTGTCCCTGAGTACCTCAGGACAGCCCTGCAGGTGTGACCTTGATAAATCACCCCAGGGTAAAGACCAACGGCCCCCAAAGCCAATGGCCTCACAGCATCACAGAGTGGCGGCTGCCAGATGTGTCTCCCAGACCGTGTTCCCATAAAATGCCTGTGTCTTCTGAGGTGTTCAAAGTTCTGCACACCGAGAGTTCTGTGGGCAACAGAGCAGGGAAGCAGTGGGCCAGCAGTTAGGCCAAAGTCTGTTCATTTGTGTGCCATGTCATTACCCTGGGGCCTGCGAGGAGGCTTCCAGGCTGGGAAGGCTGTCTCCATTTGGGAGGATGATGCCAATCCTCTCCTGGTCGAGAAGCCCTTGGAAAGTTCGCCACCCTCATCTTCACGACTTCATACAATGCTGGGGTGAAGGGTGAGCAGAGGTCACCCCGCCTCGGCCCGTGGCATCAGCTGCTGGGCACCAGGCTGCTCATCTGCTCACCCCAAGTGGAGCAGCCTGGTTCTTCTCTGGCACAGCTGTGGTCAAGCCGTCCTGCTGCAGGCCACACCCTTGGCTCTTTCTCTCCCTCGTGTGGAAGGCAAGATGGACATGTCTGTATTCATGAGCACAGCCTAGAATGAAACTCATTCTCCCCCTGGGTCTCTTTATCTTTTTTCACTGGCAGTGAGCCACACTCGGACTAGTGATCTTCAGGGCTTCGGTCATGGCAGTCCGGGAGATCTTATCTTGGTGTGCGTCTCAGGCCCTTCCTCAGTCTTACACCCCCTCTGTCCTCTCTCTGTCCCAGCGTCCCTTTGGAGGGCAAGAACCAGGTGTGGCAGCATAATGTCATTCCTGTTCTGGTGGAACTGCTGGTAGATCCTGACGAGGAGGTACAGGCCAATGTCGCTGGGGCCCTGATGAACGCAGCGGTGACCACTGAAGGTAAGGCGAGAGAACCCCATGGATCCCTGAGGCCAAATGGGTGCAGGCAGGAGGGTGGAGTGACCCTCCCTCCCAGCTTGTCAGCAGCCACAGTGAGCTTTCCAGCTTTCCAGTCAAGGGCTAAGCATTGGCCTATCAGGCCTCTGGGCTCCATCAAAATCCACGTTTTGCTCCATTACTGAAGTCCTTTTGAGGTCTGGTCCAAGGTTCGGACCCCTCTCATCTTCTAGGACACAGTGGGCTGCCTGTGACTTCTCACAAGTCCCCCACAGGGGACCCCTGCCCCCCTACACCAAGCCATTTCCCAGGCTAAAGACCTTGCCTGATGCTGGTGTTACTTCTTAAAACTATTTTATTTTTGTTTCTTATACCTCTTTCACCTTGCTCCACCCCAATTCCTTCCAACACCCCAACACCAGGAAGGAGAGAAAGAAGGTTAGTGGGGAGAGGGCGCACAGTTCTCTTACACTGCTTCCTGCTGTGTAGGGTCATAGTTCCTTGGAGCAAGCCCAATCTTTGTTTAAGGATATCCCCAACTTCTTTTCATCAAACTGCATCAACAGCAGCCAGGATTAGGGGGTGGGGGGGGCAAGGGGTGGGGAGAGGGAACCAGCAGCCTTCTTTCTCGGAGCCCCCTCAAAACTCTCTGGGCTCTGGTGTTTATTCCCTCTCAGAGCCTGCACAAGGCAAACAGTCTCCTGCTGTGGACAGTCTGAGTTAGTTCCATGTCCCACACCTGGGATCAAAACAAAACCATGTTCACGTATCAGAAGCCAGAACTGCCACAACAGCCTCACAGTCAGGTCTCTTGTAAGCCGTGACTCCGAGACGGATTAGTTTGCTATCTGTGATTCTGTTATTCCTGGGACTAAGCAGATCCTGGAGCCCTTGACCTTATGTGTTTCTTTCTTTGAAAGAGTATTTTTTGCTAATTTTAGTTATGTGTAGATATGTGTGTGCATGCGTGCATGTGTTTGTATGTGTGTGTGTGTGTGTGTGTATTCCCACCCAATGAGATGCCCCTTCCCCTGGAGCTTGAATAACAGGTGGTTGTAAGCTTCTTGATGTGGGTGCTGGGAACAGAACTCAGGTCCTTTGCAAGAGCGACACTATTAACCTCTGACCCCTCTCTGCACCCCTTTCTATGGGTTTCTTGATCATAGTGACTTTTCTCAAGTTGTAGGAAAGCATCGTCCCCTGAAGCTCTGAGGCCAGGATTCCCAGTCAGGCAGACTTCAAGGCTAGGCCATCCAACCCCTGGCTGAGGAAGGAGAGCCAGGGCAGGCTCCACACCAGATAGGCCAGGCATATGGCATTCTCTTGTCTTGCCCCTCGTACCCGCTATCTGAGCTTCCTGAATGGTCCACACTCCTCTGCTCCAGCCCTGCGGTCTCTGCTTCCTTCACATTTCCTAAGGACTCTGTGGGTCATGGATTTGTAATCAGTCTGTTTCAGAGTCTCCCAATGATAAAGAGGCCCCTGGAAGCTTCCCGCTGGACCCCACGAGTCAAATTTGAGACACACAGGAGAAGACCCTGGGGCCTTTCTCAGTCGTCAGCCTTTTCCCGTCATTTGTCCTCACCGAGGGAGTTCTGCCTGTCTGTGGAGCAGGGTGCCCCATGTGTCTTCCCATTGGGGTACCTCAGTCCAAGCTCATGTGGGAGGACTTGGAAGGCCAGGGACCCACCAGGCCTCGGGGACAATTTCCAGAGACACAGTGACCAGGCCCTAGGGCCGTGTCATCCATTCCTAGATGGGTCTCCAAGTCCCTGCTCTGTCAGGCTCTGAGCTGGACCAATGGAGCTCAGGGGTCTCAGCCATGGGTGTCTACAGCTGTCAGGAGAGGTGCAATGATGATGGATGTGGAGGAGAAGCTAGCCTTCAGGGCAGGGAGGGGATTCAGGCTTGGGGCAGCGGCCAGCCTCCTCTGAGCCTCCTCAGAGCCTCAGGGCTCTGCTGTTAAGCTGCACCTTCTTGCCTGACGTGCTTGCTTTGTGCCAAGGGCAGGGCAGCTCCTCAAGAAATACCTGCCACAGAATCAGATGACTGATTATTTTTTCCTTTCGAAAATACTGTGTATGCCATCTCCTGAGGTCTTATTTCATCTCCTGAGGGGTAGAGGGACACAGCTGGGCCGGTGAAGGGACTGAACAGGCAGAAGAAGAAAGAAAGAGATGGCCCTGGTTGGACCCAGCGGGGCAGTGGACCACCAATGGGCAGGGAAAGAAGGTGGGCACAAGTGGCATGGCTCCTGAGACATCTCAGGCAGCAGGTCAGGGGTGGGGCTTGGGGGACGGCACCTTTAGTGCAGATGAGTGTGGAACCCAGTGTCTGTGGCCCGCAGGGAAGTATGCAGCACTTGACGCCAATGCCATCGGCCCGCTCATGGAGTTGCTCTGTTCCAAACCCACGACCAAGGTGATCCTGAATGCCACGAAAGCCCTCACCATGCTGGCTGAAGCCCCCGAGGGCCGCCAGTCACTGCAGGCCCACTTGTCTACTTTCCAGCGCCTCCTGATGCATGACATGGAGGCCATTCGGAGAGCAGCCCAAGTCGCCATCAAAGTGATTGAGTGGAAGCCGTGACTCCCTGTGGGGCCGGGGGCCTCCCTCTCTGCCTCAATAAACGAGTTGAATCTCCCCATGCTGGATTTCCAATGCCGCCTCATGTTCCCAGAGCAATCCTTGGAGAGGAAGAAACATCAGACCCAGAAGGGCCTTGTTCTGGGAAGCACAGGTCCATCCCGCGCTGGGGAGTGGAAGGAGGACCGAATCCTCCGGGGACGGCGGTGAGAGGCACAGGAGTGGGATTGGGGCTTGGAAGGTACACAGCTGGGACAGGTACTGGGCAAACTGTGTGTTGGATGATCAGGACCCTGGGGTGCAGCTGAGCACAGCTTTGCTGAGCACTTTCGCCTATGCGTCTCCTTGCGAGGAGGCCGAGGGGCAGAGATCAGCTGGGAAGGTGGTTGGGTTGCCTGTTAATGTGCGCTCATCTAGTTCTGCCTGAACCAGCAGGGGATGGATGCCCTGGTTTGCAAGGCATCCATGGTGTGCCCAGCCTCTGCTGGAGGAGCTAAAGGAACAGAGCAGGGCTTCAGGGCAGAGCTCTGGGACTAAGACAGACCCCCGTCTCTTCCCCAGGAGCTGGCTAAAGCTCCCACCTCACCAGTGAGAGCTTAGTTTGAGAGGACTGCTCAGAGTAAATATTATCAAAACCAGAACCCCCAAGAACCCAAGTGAGCCTCTCCTCACTGTCCGTTCAAGGAGCCTCAGGGACCCTCCTGGTTTTCAGGAGAAGCCAAGACAAGTGTGTGTCCTGGAATTAAAGGATTGGCTCAAGTGGGCCCTCTTCTACCAATGGGGCCTGGCTGCTGGGCGCAAGTAGCGTTTCAGGTACCATCCTATTTTGAAAAAAACACACCGAATAAAAGAAAACTGTTCTCCTTCAAGAAAGCTGGGGCCCTGTGCCTTTGATCTCTATTCTGGAACCCTCTTCTGTGACATGACCCCCAGGTGCTGGATTAGAAGCTCCAATCTGTGTGGTTGTGAGTTCCTCTTTTCCGTCTCTTTCTAGCTGGTTATGACTTCTGTTTCCTCTGGCCAAAACAGTGTCTCTAATTGCAGTCTGTTTTAAGTGCTGGTCCCTTATGTCCAACAGACAATCTACCCTAAAATGTCTCTAGGCAACGATGAACAGCAGTCCTTCAGGAAATGCTTCAAAAAAAAAAAAATGGAGGAAGGAACATTTTCAGCTCCACTGTAACAATACTTGAAAGTCCTGTCCCTCTACCACAAAGAAATGGCAAGAAAACTACAGACCAGTAGGTCTTAACAGAGACATGACACTGTAGCAAATAGTCAGTGAAACAAATACAGCAACATAGTAAAAGTATTACAGTGTCAGTACCACTGGGCTTTAAATATCCTAAGAAGGGATGTACTAAAGTCAGATCATTCCACAAAATCCAATACCCATTCATAGTCAATAACAAACAAACAAACAAACAAACAACAAAAACAACACGTTAGGAAATCTAGAAATGAGGAAAGCATCCTCTACACAATAAAAAACACCCATGAAAATTCAACAGCTGGCATCATATCAATAACTACTTATTCCTTGAGAAAAGGAACAAGGCAAGGACCTCTGTTTCTGACATTTTGGTTCAGCATTGTCCTGGGGGTTCTAGCCAGGGCATGTAAGCAAGTAAAGAAATAAGGGCCATCCATTAAAAAAAAATAAGCAAACTATTTAGATTCATCCATTACACCATCAGTGTACGAGAAACACCTTAAAACTATTAGAACTAACAAGTTCATCATCTTGGGGCACCAATATACAATCAATTATATTTCTGCACACTGGCAGTGAACCACAGAAAAATGAAGCTGAGAAATTTTTACTTACAGTAGCATAAAAGAATAAAATAAGTTAGAATAATTTTTTTTTTCTGACACAAGCTAGAGTCATTTGGGAAGAGGGAATGTCAATTAAGAAAATGCCCTCACCAGACTGACCCAGGGGAAGGCCTGCAAGGCTTTTTAAATTTTTATTTATTTTTTATTAATTGGTGTGGGAGGATTCAACTTACTGGGAGCACTTCCACCCAGAGGCTGATGTCCTTGATGACATAAATAAAAGCAGGCTAAGTAAGTCACATCCTTCTGTGGCCTCTGAGTGCCTGCCTGCAGGTTTCTGCTCTGAGTACCTGCCATTTTTTCCCCCGGGTGGGGACTACAAGCTATAAGCTGGAATAAACCCTTTTCCTGGCCAAGTTGCTTTGGTGGTGGTGTTTTTGCAGGAAGCAGTAAAAACCCTAAGTACAAAACACGCCCCCAAACAAGACAACATCAACAAAAACCATCTAACAAAAGAAATGCAAGAACTATGCATTGAAAAGTGTAGCTAAGAGACCCTAAACACCTAACCAAATGAAAAGACTGCCCGTATGTGCAGAACTGGTATTTGACGCTGTGCTGTCTGGCAATAACACCCTCAGGCACCTCAGGCTTCACGATGGAAACAGAGCTCCTGTTTCCTCAGGTCTGTTCTTCCTCCGGGGTAGCCTGTTCTAGAACGGATGTCGCTGTCTCCTGTACTCTCATGCCACATGGTCACCCTGGACCCCTCATGATTTATGAAATTGGTTGTCAGCAGGGTCTAGAACCGCCCCGGGGTGATTCCTCCAAGCACAGCCCTGAAGGACCATCTGGATCGGGCCAGCCCTCGGGCTCGCCTGCGAGGGGTTATCTTGACTGGTTAATCGAGTTGGGTCTAGCCGCCTTCAAAGCCTGTTTGGTACCATTCCCCCGAGCTTGGGTCCTGGGCTGAATAAAAAGCAGAAATCTGCTTTTTGTCTGGAGTCGTAGCGGACATTTACCTAGTGGACAGTCAGCACTCTCTTCTTGATTGTGGATGCAAAGCAACCAGCTGCCACAAGATGCTTGCTTGCACCGTGGCTCTCGGGCTCCGATGAAGTAGCCCTAAAATACAAGCCAACGTAAAAAACCCCCCTGACGTTGTTGTTTATATCAAGTATTTCTATCCCAGCAACATGGAAGGTAACTGAGACCCCTCCCTCCAAAGTTCTCTTTGCCTTTGTGCCAGTCTCCTAGAGGGTGGCTTACTTCACATCTACCTTCCCAGCAGCATCCATCAGATAGGATGTCTGGAACGTGAAAAGGCACTTATGATGGGCGTGAGAACAGCACATGAGACAGAAGCCATAACTGTTGTTACCTTCTCTCTGTACAGGCTAGAAGGTCTCGGAGCACTCCCTACAAGCTCTGTTCAGAGCTCCCTCTCTGAGGGCACCACAGGGTGCTGGTTACAGAGTAAACTGCCAAAGCCATCAGCGGAAGAATCAAGGCGAGGAGGAGGGATCAGCTCTTTGAGCGTGCTTTGAGGGTGTGATTCTTCCTGATGCTGGATGGGCCTTCCCCAAGACACTTGTAGGTACTTGGAGCTTTTCTTAAGGATGAGTCGTTTATCTTGGTCCAAGGAGGAAGAAGGAGTGGTTGGTTAGGTAGTCCCTGAAGAGGCAGCCCAGGAGTCCCCATGATTGGCTTAATACCAGGCTGGGGAGACCTCCCAGGGAGAAACTTCCCTCACGGTCTGCCCTCCAGAAGTCAGTGCAGTGAATAGTGGAGAGGAGTGGAGTCTCAGCCCAGCGATAGGGCCAGGCGGGAGCTGGACATTCCTCCCAGGTGGCAGCTGTTGCCTCTGGTCTGATGGTCATCAGCCCTGGCCCAGCACCTTCCGAGTCAGGGCCCCGGCAGGGGTGCAGCAGTGCCTACAGCAGGACGTCCTTCACACCAGGACAGCCTTCCTGGGTGAGACAACAAAGCAGCAGGAGGGTGGGTACAGGGGGAAAAAAAACCCAACCCCTATCGTCTGGTAAACACAAGCAAAAAAAAAAAATAAAAAAAAAAATAAAAAAAAAATAAAGTGCCAAACATATCAGAGATAAAAAGCCAAAATTAAATTTAAAGTGAAAGTTGTTGCTTATGAAGTAGAGCCATTTGGAGAAAGTGACTCATCTCCGAGAGGAACAGATGTTCTCGTTTGCATCGTCTCCTTAACCGTGAATGGACTTTGCTCTGTGCCCTGAGAGCGCATAGTCCGCAGCGGTGGCGCTGGCCCCACACAGAGGAGGTGTTTTCATTAGTGTGGTCCTTGGCTCCATACGGTTAGGCCCCCTTGTGCGTGTGTGTTTTGGGGGGACCCACATCAGCCCCATCACGATGAGGGCATCTGGGAAAGGCAGCGGCCTTTCCTGCCCCCGGCTCCTCACTCCATCGAGGCGTGTCAGGCACAGCAGGCAGAGTCCCCAGCTGTGCACACAGACAGCATCCTCCCCTCTCCAGCGTGTCAACCCATCCATCCCTTTCATGCCCCTGCTCACCTTCACCTTTCCGGCTGCCTCTCCTGGGGCTAGCACCTCTGTTCCTCTCAACGTACGGCAGCGCTCTTCCTCTATTCTCTTCAGTCACCTCCATCCTCTCAGTGGCCACCTGTTGCTAAGATCCCTTCCCGGCAGAGACGTCAGCAGCACCTACCTTTTCTCCCAAGGTTCCAGTGACAAACCCAGACACACATCCACCAAAGCTCGCCCTGAGGAACCAGTGAGCTCCCGGGGCTTCATCTCAGAGCATTGGGATGTGGATATTTGTCTTAGGGTTCCTACTGCAGCGATAAAACAAGATGACCAAATGCAACTCGGAGAGGAAAGGATTTATTTCAGTTTAAGGGTCGTGGTCCAGAGAGTTATGACAGGAACTGGATGCAGGATCCTGGAGGTAGGACACGAAGCGGAGGCCACGGAGGAGTGGCCTTGCAGTTTGCTCAGCCTGCTCTCTGACTCCATCCACGAGGGAACTGGGACCACCCATTCTGATCGTTAATTAAGAAAATGCTCCACGGATTTGCCTGCAGGTCTCTGGTGGGGCTTTCTTCTCAGTTGACGGGCTCTCTTGCCAAATGACCCAGGTTCTTACTGCTAACAAAACACCATTCAGTGAGGTGTTCTTCCCCTCCAGCAGGCTATACCCATCATGCCTGAGGGCTTCCCCATAGCTGAATAGCCCGGGCACCCCACCCCCTGTCCCTCCTGGCCCACATGCTCTGAGGG